TTTTGGTAATCGACACCCAAAACCCAGTGGGTTTTGGGACATCGACCCCCAACTCCTTCGGGGGTTGGCCTTTTTTTTTATTAAAATTAGTGGTTTTTCGACTCCCAAACCTGCTGACGGGTTTGGGGGATCGACTCCCATTCCTCGGGGATTTTGGTGGAAATTCCGGGGGTTTCGGGGTTTGGGAGTCGATCCTCCACTTTTTGGGAGTCGATTAGCTAAGACCCTACATTAATATACAGATTTTTCTTGTCATAATTGTGGATTGTAGTATATTTCAATACAGGGGTCTTGTAAACCACCTGCAACTGTTGTAATAGGTTCATGCATACCTGAGATATTATAGCTACTATCCCCCCTTTTAGAAATTTTACCCATCCCAAAGGATCTCTCACATCATTTTTAGGCTGTAATCGGTACATATCTTGACCGGTAACAGTGGTATGATTCAATATTCCAGGAGAATATTTTTTCCAATTTTTTACAACATCTGAGTATGGAGCTGAAGATATTGACTGTGATAACAAGCAATAAAAGGCCAATCTGGGGCTGATTTGGCACTTTTTTCCTCATTCTTGTATTATCCTGGGGACAACATTCCAATTAAGCAGAACAACCTCAACAAAAGAGATCCATCATGGCATGTGTGATGCCAGCTATTCACTTGCTACTTTAGCATACTTTTAAACTTTATAAGCTAGGGGGGGGGAGGATTAGCACTGTTAAATGAAACAATAAGTATGAATACTTAGAAACAGAAAAATTTCCAATATTGACAGAGGCTTGTCATATTTGAAGATTTCAGAAGCACTCAGCACCCGTTTGCAGGTAACTGGAGGACTTCCCGTAGACTCTGTAGGCCCTACAGAACCAAATTTGGACCCTTCTGGGTCAAATTTTGACATGCCAAATCTGTAGGCACTTTTTTGACCCAGACCATCTGGAAGACCAGATATCCATCATATCTTCTCGATTCTCAATCACAACACATCACACAACCAACCACAACAACAACCCAGCAACTTTGCCTGAAATGGTATCGAATTCTCAACCCAATCCAGCCCAAACAGCAACCACCGAAGCACGCCCAACTCAACCTCCACTTTCACAGTCAGCAAATTCAACTGCGCCCCAAAGACGCCAGGGTCGCATGCCTGGTTCTCAAGGATATAACACAGACGACTGTGTTGGACTGATCAAATGTGTTGGTAGAGTCATGCCCATGGGCCCTCAGCAGTGGAGCTCTGTGCAGGAAGCTTACCACAAGTATGCCGACAAGAACAATCGATCACATCGGGAAATCGACTCGTTGAAACACAAGTTCCGAGCCATAGCTAACTCAAGGAAGCCTACTGGAGATCCAAATTGCCCCGCTTACATCCGCGATGCCAAACGAATTCAGATCGAAATTGATCAGAAGACCCGGAAATATGTTGCAGAGGATCAAAGTGATGATGAACAGTAAGCTGACTTGGGTTATTCAATTTTTAACAAAGCTAAAAGCAAGCATTGAACTCATCTGAATGCATTTAGGAATGGCGACGGTGCGCACATGGAAGACTCGCAATCTCTTGACAGGAATGCTTCACCAGGCTCACAAGTATCCAACTCGAGTGAGACCTCACCCAATCATCAGGAAAGCGAGCCAAACATACCTACGAATGACGATATCAACGATCAGATGGAACTTGATGATCAATCATCCTCTCATCATCCTCCAACCAATGAATCACAAGCGAGTAAAGCTAATCTGTGTCGCCGTGGTGCTAGTTCGAGCTCCCAACGCATTCATCATACCTATTCCCCAATGAACTCATCAACTCGGAGATCTCAACGAGGGCGCCGTGGCCTTGATCAATGCCTGGAAACTTATTTCGACCCTGAAGCTCGGGATAATCGAGAACGTGACCAGGGGATGGCGTCTTTTTACGCAGCACGTCTGAAAGAAGCAAACACAAAGATCGAGGCACTTAGCCGGGAGAACCAAGACTTATCCACCAAGGTGGACAACGAGAAGCGAGATTTAAAAGCCGAAGTCGATCGCCTACGAGCTGAGAGCACCAAAAAGTCAATGGATATTCGGGATCTGCGAGGGAAACTGGACTTGCTGCAGCTGAAGTTGGACTTATACAAGCGGGGTCAATTCCAACCTCAACCAAGGCCAATGTATAACTATCAAGGACCTTACATGACAGCGGGTCATGCGATGCAAACTCCCAGCCAAACAGCTTATGCGCCTGCAGCTCAATCCAACTTCCCAACACAATCAGCTCCTTCGGTACCACCACCTGTACCGATCAATTCAGCTCCTTCAGTACCACCTGTACAAAGCAGTTACCAACCTCCCCCCGAGTCTTTCTCTTCAATGGGTGAAACTAATTTTGGACAACAAAATGAGCATTTGGGTACTCATCCGTCCGAGTTGTAGAAGGCTTGCTATACTTGTGAATTTTATTTTTATCATTTTCTCTCTTGGAATGATCTCCAGTAGTCATAGTCAACTCAATCTCTCTTTGAAAATTGATGTCTAAGATACATGATCTGCTTCAAATTTACTAAATTTACTCTACCTAATGCAGATTTGATCGATCAATCGATCTCAGCAATCTGATTTGATCAATTGATCTAAGCAACCTCTTGATTGATCAATCTCAGCAATCTGAATCGATTGATTGATCTAAGCAACCTTTTGATCGATCGATCTCAGCAATTGGATTTGATCGATTGATCTAAGCAACCTGATTTGATCGATTGATCCAAGCGATCTGATCTGATCAATTGATCAAAGCGATCTGATTTGCTTGATCAATCCAAGCAATCTGATTTGATTGAGTAAGCAAAACAAAAACCGAGAAAAATAATGACAGAATTTGAGATCTGAAAAAGAAAAAGAAGCGATAAAGTAACCTGATGAATGAAGAAAAAGAAAGAAAGACAATATTGAAGAAAAAAAAAGATACAGTTCATCAATATAATTTACAACCACCCTTGATAATACCTGCTGATTCGACAATTTTGTTGAATATGAGAAAAAAGCATCCAATGAAATTTCTGGCATAGCATCTTCTGCTCATCTTGAGTGGACATGTAGACTGAGCGAGTCTGATTAATTTGTACTTCTCGGCATCTGATCTGGTGTAATCGACATATAACCTGTAAGACATCGGTCCGGAACTGGTGATCATCTGCTGGTAAGGGTAGCTTGATTCGAGCAAATGAGCCCTGGATCGAGTGCATCCCCCATTCGGCCGCTTGCCTTGCGCATACGAGCTGTTCGTTCAGGACCTTCTTGTGTGCAAACTCAGAATCTGAACTGGGCATTTTTTCACCACGCTTGGTTGGAGCCAGGATACGGCCTTGAAGTCGTGCACCCTTACGAGGAAAGGCAGTATCGCTGATGACCCGATATCCGAGAGGTGTGTTGTTTAAAAGCTTCTGATAGAGTGGTTCCGCTATATATGAGTCATACCATGGCCCAGGGGTGTTGAGAACAGCATAGATAAGAGTTCCATCGGGTGCAAAGGTGAGGATACTGCTGCAGTAATGCGAACAGGTCCAGCCATTGTAGTAGGCATTCTGAACACTGTATTGGGAGAGATTCATTTTAGCTAATTGAGTCTTCATATGATGCTGATTGAGAGACATACTCATCGTCACCTGAAACCAGAATGGGGAGATTTAGCCCATCAATGAACGCAAAACATTTCTTGAGGAGCGGATACTTTCTGGTGATCATGTCGCTGTAGCTTTGACATCGCTCCTCGGAAGATGGCCAGGTAATTCGGGCATTTGGGAGTGTTTGAAGGACCCTCAGGAGGACTTGGAGCCCTCCTCCAAGGTACCGTGAGCAGACCGATGGTGTAATTGCAAAGATTTGCTGGAGTGTATATGATGCCATTGTTGAACAGAGCCAATGTAGCACCAGCCCAAGCACTCCATCAGCATCAAGGGATCGTTGAGCTGATCGTGGCTCACCGTTTGGATTTACGTCGGCCCTGGGGATTGTCTCTTCATCCCACACGGAAGCAAAGTGGCTCAAGAGGTTTTTGAAGGTGCGAACATACGAGTCCCATTGTAGTTATGAAAGCTCGATTGT